GTTCAAAGACAACGGCTGCCCTGCGCCACGCTGGCCGCCAAGTCAGCGCCGTCTGTGGCAGTAGCCAGCCATCTTGCCACCTTCTGACTCAAAGGGCCTGAGTGTGAAGGGCCCTGGGCAGGACACAGGCTTTCACGCCCCGCTCTAAGTGAACTCCACAGCTGCATTCTACAATAAAGGAAGAGGTAACTGTGGACGTGGTGAATCAGAAGTTAAGAGGGTCTGGGCAGCGTGTCTGCTCCCAGTCGCTCATCACGTCTCATCGGCTTGGGCTGAAGTCTGCGTGGCTCTCTCCCTCAGGCAGTTGCTTCTGCTATTTCACACACTCTCGTCTTTGGAGCCTGCACTGGAAGCTCCAGGCGGTGGTGGAGCACGTTACGGGGGCAGAAGCTATTCCTGTGCACCTTGACTCCCACAGAGGCTCCCCGGTTACTCTACTTAGAAGAGCAATTGCATAGGAACAAGACAGCGTCCACTTACAATTCCTGCGAAGAATGGCAGGACATGTCCCTTAGAGGCCCCATCCTCTGGCTATAAATTCTTAACTGGGTGAAGACAGCAAGATGAAGTGACAGGTTATGGGACAGCAGGGACAGCACAGTAAGTAGTAGGACCCGGTGCCCCCGGTGGCTTCCAGAATGTCAAAAACAGTCCAGGGAGTGACTGCTGTGTTCAGGACAGTGTGCTCCTTGCTCAGTGTACAGGTGGCACTGAACGTCAGTGACGTACTTTGTTCAGAAACGTGCAATCTGTGAGTCTGAGAGACACCTCTATGATTAAAATATCCCCATGTCAAACCCCACAACACAGAGGGAAAAAAAGATCTCCATCTTCTGAAATAAGATTTCATACAAACATAGATAAATATATTTAAATTTTCTTTAAACTATAAGTAAATTCAAACAGATTATTATATAAAACAGTATTATACAGAGCTGTCTGCATATACCATAGAAAACATAAAAGCCAGGATTCTGATGGGAGCTAATGGTGGAAGTGCAGGGCCAGAACCTGCTTAACAACGACCTGGCGGGAGCTATGGCCTAACGAGCAAGGCCCACCCTGATGCTCACGGTTCTGTCAACCCTTGACCCTAGAAATTCAGGACTTCCTCCTCCTTCCTCTGCCTGCTCTGGCGCGTGGCCGGCTACCAGGCCGAACAGTAAGTTGCTTTTTGAAGTCCACCAAGCAATCTGTGGCTTCGGAAACGGAAACGAAAGACTTGATGGGAGAGTCATTGAAGGCGAGATGCGCGACGGGACTCTGCACCCCTCCGCTGCAGCCTGCTTCCTCCGCCTGCGGCGAGGGCACCCTGGAGAGAAGGACATTCAATTCAATATACTCCTACTAAGTGTGGAGGGCGTGGGGGGCGTACCTGAAGTTTTCACATGTATGATCAGTGCACGTAACCCTGACAATAACCCAGCCAGAGCAGCACTACCGATCGGCTTGCGCAGACGAGGACACTGCCTCGGGGCACTGCTCACCTGGCCACACATCCAGGTACTGAGAGCATGAGGATTCCGGCCCTAATTCCCAATGCCCGAACCCAGGTCACAAGACCAGAGCAGAATGGGGGTAAAAAACAGGAAGGAGTAAGATGCCGCTTTCGCTCTGCCCTGTAACAGAGTGACCGAGAGGTCATGGCAGTGCCACAGTGTCTTCTGCTTCAACAGTTTGAGTACCACACTAGACACGGCACACAGGCCTGAGCCTGGACTCCCCAGAACTGCTGGCAGCTGCAGTCCGTGCACAGCCCAACATACCTGCAGGTTCCCGTGCCAGGGAAGTTGGTCTTTACCTCTGCGTCTGTGACAAGAGAGAAAAAGTACTCGCATTAGCAGGAGGGTTGGCAATCCTGCCCGTCCCGCTGGTCACATGCTCCCTGGTTTCTGGGCACTGCTTTTCATCTAACCTGTTCAGGAGCCCAGATCCCCAACCCTCAGGCCAACGGAATGTGCCATTAGCATCCAACAAGCTCTGCTGTCGGTACCAAGGCGAATACTTATGAATGAATAACCTCTGAATAAATCTACTTCAAATCTGGACCTGAAGAACAAGGAGTTTCCACAGGAAATCTGCCACCTGCAGACTCAGCCTGGCAACAGAGGCAGCAGGATGCGAGGCTCGGAGACGCTGCTTTTGTACAGTCATCAGAAGGCAGGACAGATCTGCTTGGTGACACTGAACACCACGGTAAGCAGATCGAGCCGGGCTTAAGCCAAAGTTCCCCTTTCATCTGTACGTGGTGGATTTCAACAGTGACTGATAACGACAGTGACGACAGCAGCCGGCACTCATCAGGGGCCTGCCTGTGTCAGAGACATATGTGGAGCTCTCTTTCTTTTCTTAAAGACTTATTTTATTTAACTTTATTTATTTAATTTGACCAGAGAGGGACAGAGTGTATGTGAGAGAGAGAGAGAGAGATTAGGAGAGTGAGAAAGCAAGCCACCAGGTCCGAGACTCGAACCGTGGTCGGCCATGTGGGAGTCCAGCGTCATGGCAGTGCCACAGTGTCTTCTGCTTCAACCGTTTGAGTACCACACTAGACACGGCACACAGGCCTGAGCCTGGACTCCCCAGAACTGCTGGCAGCTGCAGTCCGTGCACAGCCCAACATACCTGCAGGTTCCCGTGCCAGGGAAGTTGGTCTTTACCTCTGCGTCTGTGACAAGAGAGAAAAAGTACTCGCATTAGCAGGAGGGTTGGCAATCCTGCCCGTCCCGCTGGTCACATGCTCCCTGGTTTCTGGGCACTGCTTTTCATCTAACCTGTTCAGGAGCCCAGATCCCCAACCCTCAGGCCAACGGAATGTGCCATTAGCATCCAACAAGCTCTGCTGTCGGTACCAAGGCGAATACTTATGAATGAATAACCTCTGAATAAATCTACTTCAAATCTGGACCTGAAGAACAAGGAGTTTCCACAGGAAATCTGCCACCTGCAGACTCAGCCTGGCAACAGAGGCAGCAGGATGCGAGGCTCGGAGACGCTGCTTTTGTACAGTCATCAGAAGGCAGGACAGATCTGCTTGGTGACACTGAACACCACGGTAAGCAGATCGAGCCGGGCTTAAGCCAAAGTTCCCCTTTCATCTGTACGTGGTGGATTTCAACAGTGACTGATAACGACAGTGACGACAGCAGCCGGCACTCATCAGGGGCCTGCCTGTGTCAGAGACATATGTGGAGCTCTCTTTCTTTTCTTAAAGACTTATTTTATTTAACTTTATTTATTTAATTTGACCAGAGAGGGACAGAGTGTATGTGAGAGAGAGAGAGAGAGATTAGGAGAGTGAGAAAGCAAGCCACCAGGTCCGAGACTCGAACCGTGGTCGGCCATGTGGGAGTCCAGCGCCCTTAACCACCACGCCATCTGCCGGCCCTGTTCGGAGCTTTCTTTGGTATGATTCTCACAACCTAGAAAACTGGTATTCTGACTTTATGCAACGCTCTTGGCCAACTGACTCCACTGCTCCCTGAGTACTAGGCACTAAGAAAGGGAATTACTTCCTGCAATCTCGGCTAGAGCAGGGGTCGGGACCTCAAGCTAGAGCTCACACGTGGCGACACAGAGCACTAGGGGAGGCAGTGGTGTCTGCATGTCTGCTCCTCTGTGCCTCTCCCTTCAGAAGGTATGCTTAGGGCCTGTATCATCCTCCCGTGATCTGTAAATGTTCTATCCTGGTTCCACAGAGCCCAGAGGTCAGGTTTTATTAAACCTCCAATGAAACCTGATGAATAGGACAGGAATCCCCCGCCTTCCTTAGGGAGAGATGACCTAGATGGAGTCTCACAGGCTGGCTGACTGGGCTACCTGTGTACTCACATAACCAATGGTCGGGGGGCTGGTAGTGACGACTCCACTGGAAGGTCTTTGTAAAGCCATGGAAAACAGGCTGCGGGTCCTTACCTAGGGTCTTTTGCTCAGACTGTTCCAGAAGACTGAGGAGTCGGCCTTCCTTGAGGCCTTTTGCCTGTATAGAAAAAATATATATATATAGATGAAAGAGTCACTTCATAACAAAGAATCTAAAATACAAATTCCTTAGCCCAGATTACACTTGCTCCCAGGGAGAAGAAGCACAGGGGCACAGCCTGAGAAAAGACTTGCGTTTTCTAATAAATCAGGGGGGGTGCAAGTAAAAAAGAAACCGTAGTGGAGGGAATACACTTCCATGCCAAGAATAGGTACCAGCATCGAGCCAGACCAGTCCACCAAAGTCAAATCAAAGAACAAGAGCTGGGGGCAGTGCATGGCAGGAAGTTGGAGCAGCTGAGTCCCACGTGGCTAAGTGCACGGCCAAGTCCTGGACCTGGCGGCTTGGAAACTCTCCGGATGCATGTGCATGTGTTCCCAAAACCCCAAGAGGAGAGAATGGAGGAGAATGGGGGTGTGGCCATCCCTCCTGGGGGTGTGCTTTCTCACTTTCCCTCTCTCTGTCTCCAGCGAGGGCACACACCTTACAGCAAAACACAAACAAACAAAAGCCAGCTTTGATTTATGATAGATTTGGGGAGATTTAGAAAAAAAATAATAGGCTCAAGGTAGCTTTTCTCAGGCAATGATCTAGAAGAATAAACAAGCTCTATGGTATGAGTGAATACCCACCCATACACCCCAACTGCAAAGTACTACCTCAATCACATCATCCTGGCATGACAGAGTGCCCCCCGCCCCATCCAGTGGCTGGTGAGCAGGCTAGTACTCCCAGAATACGGAACTGTCGCTTCATCGTTGAGACCTCGGCCAAGATGTGCTCTTCCTGATCTCCAATACAAGGTCTCGAAAGTACACCCACATTCCCGCAACCAGGGCCAGACCCCACAGCTTCCTGAGGCCAGGCACGCGAGCTGGACAGGGCGTCTCACATATGTTCCTAGCAGTCTGAACTGGGTATCCTTTCTGAAAGCAATTTAGCAGTATGTTTCAAGAGATACAAAACATACTTATTTATATATGTATCATATATATATATATATATGTATCATATATATAACATGTATCTCATATTATTTATATATGTATATATAGAAACCTATGTTTGAGATTAAATGTCCATTTTAAAATTTTAATTTTACATTAAAATTACATTAAAAATGTATAGGAAACAAAGAATGGAAGAAATAGGCCAAAATATTAAATGTTATCTTTGAATAGCTAAATTATAGGTGATTTCCCAATTCTTTATACTTTTGAACTTCCTATATTTTCTACAATGAGCGTGCATTACTTTTTCAATTAAAATTAAAAAAAAAAAAACTTTAAAAAGCATGAATCTTGTTTGAAGGTAAATGAGAAGGAAAGGAGTGTGGGGAGAGGGGGACCCCAGAACAGAACTACGGTCTCTTAAACCCGACTCAAGAGGGCGAGGCAGCCCTTCCAGAACACGCCACACGTACCTTCGGGTTCCTCGGCTGCTGGTGCCGCCTGCCCTCCGTGGGTGAACGTGGCCTACCACTCCCTTCAGGACCACCGTCTTGGTCAAGCCTTGCAAGCTGGAGACAGGTATCCACATGACACGCATACTCTCTGACTGGGACCAGGGACTTACAGAGGTAACACTTCTCATTCCTAGCCAATCCGAAGAAACGAAGAAAAAGCCGTTTTAAGATCTGCTTTTGCCTCTGGGCTCCTAGATGTCTCTCAAATTGTGTTTTTACGTCTTAAAGTTATTCTGTGGAGGAGACATGTCAACCAGCACAGATTTGCTCAGCAGGGTCACCAATAAAACCAACCCGTTGCCAATCAAGAGGCCTGAGTGATTAGCAGTTTCCCCGGCTGTGTCTCTGTACCCCGCTGCTACAGCAGTGGGACAGTAATGAAATCAGCTCTCCTAACGATTTCAAACAATGCTGCCTGCTCTCCACACATAAAATACTGTCAAACTCTTCTAGAATTAAGTGTAATCGTTTTTTTCAAAGAGAAGTTAAAATTTCAACAAAAAAGGGAGCACCAACAGCATTAAATCAAGATGGTGCCTTTACCGGGGCAGATGAGCTTGTCCGATTAGGAAATCACTCCGTCTAGATGCAGACTGCCTTAATTCTACAGCCTGCAACATCAACTAGCAAGTTACTAAAACCACGTGGTCCTGCCAGATGCTTGTGCATGATTTCATACATGTAGTTATTTTCATCTTTTTATGAGAGCAGAGTTTGGAAAGAACAAGTATGTCCTCTGAGGTAAGGTTTATTGGGCATCATTGAAAATGCAACTGTTAGAGGAAAAAAATGAACATTCATTATTCTCTCTGTGGCCAGAACTGGGCAAAGCCTTTTCTTTCTTATTTAGATTTTTTCCAGAGTGTGTGCACTCACCAGAGATAGAGGGAAAGCAAGAAAGCACACCCTTGGGGGGATGGCCATGCCACAATCCCTTCTATTCCATTCTTCTCTCAAGATTTGGACAAGTACACACACGTGCCCAGCATGATTTTCAAGCCACTGGGTCCAGAACTTGAACTGCAGAGTTGGCCATGTGGGAGTCCAGTACCTTAGCCTCCACACCAGCACCTTGCCCTGCGCACAACCTTTTTTCCTTCAGGTCTCTGCCACAGGGCATGTGCACTTATAAGAAGAAGACAGAGAGAAAGAGAGAAATCATCTCCCTGGGGGAATGACCACACTATAATCCCTTCTCCTCTCAGGAATTTGAGCATGCATGCACGCAGCCATAGTGATTTTCAAGCTGAGTCCAGGGCTCAAGCCACGGTCAGCCTCGGTCAGTCTCATGGGAGTCCAGCACCTTAAACACCACACCACCTACTGCCCTCCCCCCAAAGCCTTTTAAACACAAGTTCTCAGTTAGTTCTTCAGCCCTATTAGAAAGGACTATTCTCTCCAAGGGATGGCCAATACCTGTCGGAGCAGCCTGACTCTTAAATTCTCAGGTTTTTTTTTTTTTTTTTGAGAGGTTTTTGCTATAAGGGGCGTGCGCTCGCCAGACAGAGACAGAGACAGAGAGATAGAAAGCAAGAAATCACCCCCCGGGGGCGATGGCCATGCCGCAATCCCTTCTCCTCCATTCTCCTCTCAGGATCTTGGGCACACACGCACACACGCCCGGCTTGAGTTTAAGCCACCGGGTCCGGGATGCAAACCACGGTCGACGACTACGTGGGAGTCCAGTGACATAGCCATTACGCTAACTGCTAGTCCCTTAAATTCTCCGTTTTAAAGAAGCTGAAGAAAACTTACCAAAACATGCCATCTTAGAATTCTCTTTCTGGCCCTTACTCTTCAGTAACTACAGCCAGAGCCAGGGATTAGCTCTAGGGAAGGGTTTCTCTGGAGGTCTTGAAAGTAGGAGATCTAAGTCTCCAAAATACTCAATTATCTGGAAGAATGCAAGGAAAATCCTGCCTTATGAGAAAACCCAGACAATTTACTGTGCCTTTCTAGGTATATCAATGAACAACACTTTCATTAACTCCCCATCGCATGATTAAACAGCAGCGCTGCAGAGGAACGGGAATTCTCGAGTCAGGTGGGTTTTGCCACTTCTGGCCATGGGATCTTAATCAGTTACATACAGTTTTTCTGCAGTTTCTTTATTTAAAAAAATAAAGGATAACTACTTTATAACTCCTGTGAGCAAAAGTAAATAAAGTACTCAGCACAAGGACTGGCACATAAAATGTGAGGTCTCAACCAACACCTGTTACCGTAGCTGCTCTCAGACACACTCATCAGATGCTGGGGCGACAAACATGAAAGAAGGCAAATACCTACCTTCGAATAATCCACAACCTAGCCAGAGACGCAGAGACGTCAATTTAAAAACAGCCAAAACCACACAACTCGCTGCAGTACAAGACGAGGCACACGGTCCTAAAGGAACTCCACTGTCTGTAGGAGGAAGTGACCTGCTCTGCCCAGCTGGGTTACAGAGGGCAGCCCTGAAATTTAGGGGACAAGGTCTATGTTGCAAAGACAGAAGCTCTGCCTAGTGGCTGACTGCTCTAACGAGCTGTTGGTCACACTGTACTTTCAGCAGGCAATACCCACATCTGATCCCTCCCATAGGACAGACCTTCTTACTTCTCAGCCAAGCTGCAGCCCACAGCCCAAGGAAGACTTCTCTATTACCCAACCTTCTGCAGCCAACTTCTGTACTAAACACAGTGAAATTAAATGCTCACTGCTTCTCCAAAGCAGCAAACTCGAACATGCAAATTCCGAGAAAACAGAATCCCAAGAAGTTTCGTGGAAGTACAGTGGGTGGCAGGACTGTTTCTGGGGTACTAAGAAGGGATACGGAGGCCACCTACATTGATGCAAACTACGAATGAGGCAATGAGACTCTGGCTGGCCCTGTCACACATCTGGTGAGGCACTACGCAGCAGGAAGCCAGACCCTACATGGCTGAGGACAGCTGGACTCCCATTCCTGGCAGCTTGAAAACCTACTGGACACATGCACGTGTGTGCCCCAAATCCTGACGTGATGGAGAGATGGAGAAAAAAAAACTGCAGTGTGATCACGCTCTATTGGGGGTGTGTTTTTTTTTTGCTCTCATCAGTGAACATGCAAACCCTCTGGCAAAGAAATATAAAAAGAGGGAGAGAAGGAAGGAAGGAGAAATCCAGGCACCCAAGCAGCTCAAAGAAACATGGGGTCTCCACGGTCCGAGCGACAGCGTCCGAGGTAAATGAGAGCGCCACGGGGGAGGCGCAGCTACTCACTTGCCAATGTCGAGGGGCATCTGGGCAGCTGTCCCACTGGCGCTCTTGCTCTTGGTCTCTTTCTGTCTCCGAGTCACCACTTCCAACAACAACAACAAAATGTTAGCTGGCAATAGATTCCAAAGATAAAAGATAAAACATAAGAGGAAGAGGCACAGCTTAAAACCTGCTCCACTGGGAGAGGTGTACTGCCTGGGGAGCCTCAGCACTTCGGGGCTAAGACGGGCCATGACGCATGTGCTGGAAACTGCCTGCCACACGGCCGCCCCTACCCGGTAGGCCATGAAAGCTCAAGCTCCAGCCCACACCAAGAAAGGTGCGGGTGTACCCAAGGGTGGAGTTTACACTTCCCTAACCAAAGCGCTGTCTGGTGTGACACCCGGTCTCAGGAGATACTCTATGGAACAGTGATGATGGCTCCATCTGAGTGTCCACACAAGCCCGTCTTCACAAAACTCTGCAAACAGTTCCCTTTATAAGAGTCGAAACTGCAGCTCAAAACAGTTAACAGAACCCATGTTTTCCATTACCCGGGGACCACCTGCCAGTTCTAGTGGGCGTAAACAGCTGTAGCCCAGATGACGTACAAATACTAACTGACATCTGCTCATAGAACCACGGTCTCATAGAGGATCTTGGAAGTTACTTAATCAAGCGTCTTTATTACTTACAATAATAAGAAAAAGTGCATCACTCCAAACCCTGCCCTCCTTCCTCTTTAATACTCAAAATCCCCACAGCTGAGATAACCCGTTCACAAAATAACTTAGGCTGTAAAACATTTACCTAGTCCAGGGGTTAATAAACTTCTCCTGTGAGGCTAGACAGTCGGTATTCTGGGCTCGGCAGGCCACGCTGTCTCTGTCCTGACTATGCGACTCAGCACCGGCACCCATGCAGAGGCCAGCGGTGGCGGTGCTGCAGGAACGTTCTAGTTACAGTACCAGCAGTCTGGCTGGATCCAGCCCAAGGCTGGCCACGGTCTGCCCATCCGTCTGGTTCAACCTCCTACTCACACAAATGCCTTCCCTGAACATCCCTAAGAAGTCATCATACGACTCCAACCTGACTCTGTCCTCACTGGGGAACCCACTTGCTCCTAGGGAAGCCCGTTCCGCCGCTAGCCTGCCGCCCCACTAGCCTGCCGCCTCGCTCGATCTGCACTTTCTGGAGGCTATCTGAACACACTCACCCCTTTCCACAAGCGGCTCTTTGAACGCGTAACAGGTGACACTGTAATCCTGGACTTGCTCAGTTGTCTGCCCCACTAAAATGCAACCTGCTTCCATGGCGGAACTATGTCTTGTTAGTCCCTAAACCAGTTCCTATTAAGTCTTGAATTATATGGGGCCAGAGGTGAATGCGCTGGACTCCCACACTGCTAACCTGGCAACCTGCTTTCTCACTTTCCCTCTCTCTCTGGTCAAATTTTAAAAAGAATAATAATAATAAACAAAATATTAAAAAAAAAAGACTTGGGAATTATCGAGCTGTTTGAGTGCCTAGGTTAGCTCTAGTTCTTACGGTAAGTCTCCAGATTGGTGTACTCTGCCCCCATTTTAAAGGTATGAAAGCAAATCAAGAGAGAGCACCTGTCACGACTGGCTGGTAGTGAGAGCCAGCATGGAGCCCAGACCCGACTTCCCATGCTTGACCTTCCTAGTTAGCCTCTTCTACACACCCCAGTCTGGCAGGCTTTCTTTACTCATCTACCTCAACCGGAACCCGAGACTCAGTGAGAAATCTGACCAGTGAAGAGGACAGAGCCCCAGTTACCCCATCTAGATGCTTATTCTATTAGTCTGGTCCAGGTTGTTTGCTTTAGGACAATCTTGGTATGCTAATGGGTTAAACTGAATTTAAAGGCAATTAAGATCCATCCTCTACCTTTCCAAATAATTTTTTAAAGAATTATTTATTGATTTTATTTATTCATTCATTTATTTTAATTTTCCCAGAGAAAGAGTGAGAAAATGAGAAAGCAAGCCACCAAGTCCAGGATTCGAACCGTGGCCAGCCATGTGGGGGTGTCCAGCACCTTAACCACCACTCCACTTGCTGGTCCTCCCAAATAATTTTCAAATAAAATGTTATCGAGATAGGTCCCCTAATTCTGGGCATGCATGACCACGTTGCTGGGTATCTTTCTCCCCTCTAACACAGGACTGCACAAGGCCCTGTTCTCAGCTGGACATCCCAGCCCACTGAGAGCGTCTATAGACGACTCTGACGTCTGAGTTATGTGCTCCTTTTCCAGTGTTGTGTCATCTGCATATGTGACAAGCAGGATGACAGTATCTTCACACAAGTCACTGGGGGAAGTGATTGTGAAGAGTATCACTAAGGACACAGATGTGTCACCAGAGAAGCCTGACTTTTCCCTGGTCCAACTACCCTTGAAATAATTAATCAAGCATATTTTTTTAAGAGGTTTTCGCTATAGGGCACGTGTGCTCACCAGACAGACAGAGACAGAGAGACAGAAAGCGAGAAATCACCACCCCCAGGAGGGATGGCCACGCCGCAATCCCTTCTCCTCCACTCTCCTCTCGGGATCTTGGGCACGCACGCACACACGCCTGGCGTGAGTTCTAAGCCACCGGGTCCGGGACGCGAACCGCGGTCGACTACGTGAGAATCCAGCAACATAGCCATTACGCTAACTGCTGGTTCCCATTAATCAAGCATATATTGAGACCCCTTCATGCACAAGTAACTTGGGAAGATGGAAAAATGCTGAGGCGAGTCCTTGCTGAGGAGCCTATCGTTTGCTAAAGGTGACAGTGCAGGTGCTCACATAGCCATAGCACGAGGTATGCAGAGAACGTCACACACACGCCCATGCACAGAAGCAGCCAATGACAGTGTCTGCCTCTGGGAAGGACGGCAGGATATGTGTGGACTGCAAGAGGAAGGAAGCGTGTTTGCGCTGTATACTTTTCTGTACTGCTGAATTACAAATTAAAAGGGGAGGAAAAGGAGCCAGCGGGTAGGTTCCTACATGGCTGACCATAGTTCGAGTCCCAGACCCAGCAGCTTGAATATCACACTGGGCGTGTGTACGTGCATGCCCGGAATCCCAGGAGGAGAACAGAGAAGGGACTGTGGCATGGCCATACCCCTGAGGGGTGATTTCTCACTCTCCCTCTCTCTGTCTCTGTCTGGTGAGTGCATGTGCCCAATGGCAAAAACCTAGAAGAAAAGGGAGGTGGGAGGCCATATTATAGTCTTGGGTACAGGTAGGAGTGGATGATCTGTTAGGGCGTTGGAAAGTCACGAGGTATTTTTCCAAGCAAAAATGCATCATGCTTTTCCTGATAACCTGCTATTTCTAAGACTCCTCCCAACCCAGACGTTTCATAAGTAAGACTAAAGTACTGCAGGAGAAACACACCGAGGCCTTAGCTAGAGAACCGGCTTCAAATCCAGCCCCTGCTCTATCAGCTGGCACACATTTCTCCATCTCATGTACAAAGGACATCAGGAGGGATTTTATCAAGTGCCTTGCTGAAATCAATTCTTAAAAGGTTGGCACCTCAAAGATTACAGAATCCTTTAAGGGTTGTTTTCTACCAAGCATTTTTCCAAAAGCAATTCTTGCAAAGCACTCCACACAGGGCTAGAAGAGTGAACGGCGTCTAGCACTTCGCCTGCCCTCGATCGCCCTTAGCAGGCTCCTGCTCTTACTCCTCTCTACATTGGTCTCCCTCTCCGCACCATTCTGAATGCAGACATTCCGAGGTGTTTTGTTTTCCTTCAGCATCTCAACAGATTCTAGCAAAGGTCAGGTGCTAATAAACATCTACCATATAAGATTGTATCAAGGGCTAGGAGAGCTGGATCCCACGTGGCCAACGGTGTGGTGAATCCTGGCCCTGGAGGCTTGAAAACATGTGAGGTACACGTGCATGCATACCCCAATCCTGACAGGATGGAGAGAGCAAGGACTATGGTATGGCTATGCCCCATGGAGGGTGCTTTCTCTCTGTCTCTCTGTCATTCTTGGACAAGTGCATGTGCCCTCTGGGAAATTAAGAAAACAAAAAGGATAAACTATATCGGTGAATTCAGGGAAAAGCAGATCTCTTATTTTAAGAGGACCTACTCTGTGCCAGGGAGTTTATAAACAAAATCTCGAATCTTTACAACAACCCTGCAAAGCATATATCATAATCTCTATTTTACAAATGACAGAACATTAAAGAACCTAATTAAAGTCGCAAAGCTAAAACAAAAGCCTAAGAAACATGATAGAAGTCTGATTTTAGAGAACCACGTGTTCTTGTATGAGCGGCTGCCTCTCCTGGGAGATGAGAGTAAAGGGAGGGAAGACACAGCGTGCTCAGTGGTGAGTGAGTGGGCAGGTGGGAAAAATCTGAGCGGAGAGACTTGACAGATGGCTGGGAAAGACGTGGTAATTCCGTGATTAAGTGTTATTATTGAACCCCGCCACAGTGAGGCAAGCCTGGGGAACTACTACACCAGGCTGGGGCCACACAGGAAGCCTAAGTCTGCTTCCTGGGCTAACCTGAACATGCTGGGGGCAGGAGTGTTTGCCTGAAACCCCAGCTAATGGAGGCAGGGGCAGAGGACTGAGAGAACAAGACCTTCAGAATAACTCTCTCGGGACCAGCAGATGGCATAATGGTTATGTTGCTGGACTCCCACATGGATGACCACAGTTCAAGTCCCGGACCTGGCAGCTTGAAATCACACCAGGCACATGTGCATGCATGCCCAAAATCTTGAGAAGAGAGTGAAGGAGAAGGGACTGCAGCGTGCTCATCTCCTCTTGGGAGGTGGGGGTGATTTCTCACTTTCTGTCTCTCTGGAGAGCACATCACCCTATAGCAAACATCTCTCTAAAAAAAAATAAGTAAATAAAATGCCTCTCTCCTCCCACTCTCATTCCCTTTCTCTCCTGCTTGCTGGCTCCCTCTCATTAGGGAAAAAAACACTGGGCTGGCTCAGGTGCGGTGGTAACACGCCACTCCAGAGAAGCCGGGCCCCATGAGGTACGTGCAGTCAAGGCCTGGCCCAGGCAGCCTGCACACACTGGGCACACGGCAAGAGCCCGAG